CCCATCACTTGTATTGTAGAGTAGGCTTTAGAGAGAGACGGCTGTTGAAAGAGAACCACAGACGCAAAAGTTATTCTTATTAAAAATTGACAAAGTCCAAACCTTTTTGCTCTTAAAAGCAACGCAAAGATTTGAAAAAAGTCTTTGCCTCAATTCTTTTTTATCATTTCTTATTATTTCTTCTTTTTCTTGATATCCATCAAAATCTCACACCTTTTTTGCTTCTGTTGTGGCTGTCACACCACTCGTTCTCCTTGGCATTTTTCTGGCTTGTCATTAATGAGAGTAAATCAAGTGTAATTTCTCTCTCTCAAACTCGAAATTTTGAGAGACCATTGTTTGATTTTGGAAAAGCTAGGGCTTTTTAATTAATCCTCTTGAGGGGTTTTCCATGGCGGTTCTGGGTCTTGCTTGGATCTGAGAGGAGAAATTTTGCTTTATTCGAGAATGGACCTAAAAAAGTTTGAAGCTTTTGGTCTTGTCTGCTTAATCTCACTGTTTCTGCTAAATCCATTATGGCTTGCCTCCTCTAACATGGAAGGTTACTACTGTTCTATTATTATCTTCATAATTTTTGTATTTTATATATTTATTTTTTTATGTGATTACTTTTGCCTGCTTATCACTTTCAGAGGTACATGAGATTAGAAATTCATCTGGCACTGTCGCTGTTCTTAAAAGGACTTTTTAGAATCTGATTCTATTTTGAAAGTTGAAATTTTTAGAGAAATTTTGTTCATTTTGGAATGTATATTTTGGAAGTCTGCAATTGATTTAGGATTGAAGGTGAAAAGGGTACTAAATGCCATTTGCAATTTCACCAGAAATTGGAGAGACAATTGCCTTATTTTTTTTTTGGTCAATTGTTGCCTTACTTATTAAAAGTCTAAATTCGTTAGCTTTTTCTCTTTTGGAACTAAAACTGTTTGTTTGGTTGGTAAGTTTTACCTCTTTGGGAAAGGCTTAGGCTTTTTTGGTGTGTATGTTAACAGGTGATGCACTGCACAGTTTGAGAGCTAATCTGTTTGATCCGAGCAATGTGTTGCAAAGCTGGGATCCTACACTCGTTAATCCGTGTACTTGGTTTCATGTAACGTGCAACAACGATAACAGTGTTATAAGAGTGTGAGTGTCTCTCTGCTTGCATCTGACCCCACCCACCTGTGTTCTTGGTTTAGCTTCTTCAATTTTGTTTGTTGTTACTTTTTCAGTGATCTCGGGAATGCAGACCTGTCTGGTCAATTGGTTCCCCAGCTTGGCCAGCTTAAGAACTTGCAGTACTTGTAAGTTTTTGCTTTATGATCAAGAATGAAAGTTAATCGATACTCGATAGATGACCGAAAAGTTGATGGAATTGACTATGCATAACTACTTTAAGCCCAGAGACTTGTAATTTATTATACATGATAGCAGGAAAGCCCTTTGCGGGAAATTTTGTTTTGTCATTTTAGTTAGGTCTTATTCATTAGCTATTTGTCATTGTAGATTGTTGATGTTCTTCTGAAGGTGTGATACTTTTAATTGCAGGGAACTTTATAGTAATAACATAACTGGACCGATTCCAAGCGATCTTGGGAATCTGACAAACTTAGTGAGCTTGGATCTTTACTTGAACAGCTTCACTGGTCCAATTCCAGATTCTCTGGGAAAGCTCTTCAAGCTGCGCTTTCTGTAAGAACATCTTAGCCTGCTCTTCTCATCATGCACTGGCTAAATGTCTTGCTATATTAGAGATTTATTTAGAATAATAATCGGCTACCAAATGCACGCGATCTAACATGCTGATTTGAATCGTAATATTTATAGTTTTTGAGTTCTGATAATCCTCTTACACCTTATCATAGCCTATCCTTCTACATCTAAGTCATTACTTAATACTTGTTGGTGGGCGTTTTTACATTCGAGTGGTGGTCAAAGAAATCGGCTATGTCTTCTGAAATGATTAACAAACTTGTTTAATTGAATTCTTTTCCGGGAAGTTGGTAATGTGGTATGAGTTTTTGTTGCAAGGATAGTCGGCTCAACAATAACACTCTCACCGGACCAATTCCCATGTCATTGACTAATATCACAACCCTTCAAGTTCTGTGAGTATCACTACATCAATTTCACTTTCTGCTATTTTGAACTTCTTAGTCCTAATGGGAACACTGATTTATCCTTGATTTTCTTGCAAAATGCAGGGATCTGTCAAACAACCGATTATCTGGATCTGTTCCGGACAATGGTTCCTTCTCGCTCTTCACTCCCATCAGGTTTGATGGAATCCATACTACTGAACATTAAGTACTTATGTTGGGAGCTAAGGCTATAGTTCTCTTGCTCTCATTGCTGATATCAAAATTTGTGCTTGACCTCACAAGTTGTTCTTCTGCCCAGTTTTGCTAACAACTTGGATCTATGCGGCCCAGTTACTAGCCGTCCTTGCCCTGGATCTCCCCCATTCTCTCCTCCTCCACCATTTATCCCACCTCCGACAGTTCCTATTCAAGGTAATGAAATGAAGCAGACAGTAAAGCTTAATTAGATCTTTAACGTTAACTCATGGTTCAAAATATAGTGGACGGCTCTGCTGTGTTTTTGTAAAGTTGTTTAGTGGTCTTTTGTTGGAAACAGTCTATCGCACTTGTTTAGAAAGCTGATTATTGACTTCTATGGCAAAATTATGTTGGATGATTACTTTCTTTTATAACTTTAAGGTGGGTATAGTTCTACCGGAGCCATTGCGGGAGGAGT